GTAGGTAGTAGTATATATATATATATATATATATATATATATATATATATATATATATATATATATATATATGTATATAGGTATGTGTATGTATAAGTGTATATGCATATATGTATATGTATATGTATATGTATATGTATATGTATGTAGGTGTATGCATGAGGGGGGGGGCGTGTGGGTGTATGATGTGGCATGTACAGGTGAATGTATCTGAAGTAACACACACACTCGTTCAAACTCTACCTCCCTATCGTCTTCGAATCAACCCTACAAACCCTAAAATACTAACTCTATCCCCCCCCCCCCACCACATGCCCTGCCAACAGAAATGGAAGAAAGAAGTTGAGTCTTTGCGTGCCGAGAAGGCGTTGGTTGATAAGTTAGTTGCGGAGTTACAGAACGCTGGCACCACCGAAGCGTCTGAGGCTGCAGCCAAACACCACTCAGCCATGGCAGAGATGCAGGCGGTATGTATGTGTGGGTTATGTGCAGTGTAGTGTATGTAGTGTATGTAGTATATATAATGTATATAGTATATATAGTGTATGTAGCATATATATTGTATGTATGGTACGTAGTATATATACTATATATATAGTATATATAACGTACGTATTGTATGAATTCGTGCCATATTACCTACATCACATATCAGCCCATGGAGAAGAGCCAGCCACGCCCAGTGAACAGCCACGCCCAGTGAATGCATGCACTGCACACTAGACATCGTCTGTAAACGTTATCGTCAACACTTGCAGCCAGACTGTGTTCACAACCAACACCCCGCGAAGGTCCTGAACGGATTCCTACCTACACACAGGCATAGCTAAGTAGATATATGTGCACATATAAATGACTCAACATACACACATGCAAAAATAAGTAGATATATGACCCAACATACACACATGCATAACCAAGTAGATATATTACCCAACATACACACATGCATAACTAAGCAGATATGTGTGTACATATACATGACTCAACATACACACATGCATAAATAAGTAGATACATGACCCAACATACACTCATGCATAACTAAGTAGATATGTGTGCACATATACATGACCCAACATATACACATGCATACCTCGGTAGATATGTGTGCACATATACATGTCCCAACATACACACATGTACCAACAAGTACACAGGTGCTCGTAGGTACGACACAGATCCATACTATCGCAGTTAGCCGACAATGTTCTCTTGCACGTGCTCATTTGTGTGTGATTACACATTGCATTGTAGGCGTTCGATGAGAAGATGTCCGCGGCCGAAGCGGCAGCTGCTGCGGCGACTATGGCCTTACAGATGGAGCTGGATGAGGTAATGCACATGCACGTGTGTGTGTTATATCGGGACAAACCGGTACATGCTTGTATACGCATACATGTATGTAAGTGGGTATCTGGTTGTTTTCCTCGCACGAGTCTACCTACAGTAGATAGGTGTTTATCAATTTGGCTTTGGCCGTACCTGATA